CCCTAAAAGTCTACAAGCCAAAGCGACATCTATTTTTACTTTGTGTACATATGTAACGCAGATTATATCCCGGATATTTGATTCTATACCGGTTATTCTTATAGTAAAAATTGAAGGATAATAAGAAGATTTAGAAAATGTTAAATTCTACTAGTGCATAGTTTTCATTTTCTAGTCTTCTTGGTTTAGACCGCTTGGTTTCAATGTTATAAGGCGGCGTATCCAGTATGATTCCTTTTCCTTCCTGGTTTCGGAACTCCAGTTGTGGTTGTTAGCAATAGCGATAAGTATTATATCACTGAAAGTGTGGCCAGGGGAGGAGAAGTGTTCTGCGACCGGGCTTCTGTACAGCTTTTTTGTCATCCAATCAGATCTATGAAGGTTTATCCTTTTGTGTAGCTTTTCAGTTTCTCCCACGTACTGAAGGCCACAGATCTTACATGTGATGAGATAAATCACATTCTCCGTTTTGCACGTTTTGTTTGGACCATGTATGTTTAGTTTTTCTTTAGTCACTTTGCTAGTGAATGTCTTGGTCTCTATCATATGTTGACAGGTTTTGCATCTTTTATCGCCACAGGGTCCAGATTGACTAGGTTGGTTTTGACTAGCGATTGTTGTTAGCTTGGCCCTGACTAGGATGTCCTTTAGGTTTTTTGGTCTCCGGTAAGCTACTACAGGTTTGTTCGGAAGTATTAGGTTTAGTATGTCTGACGATTGCACGGTTGGCCAGTGGTTTGCGATGATTTTACCTACTTTGGGATTGTCTGGGTGATAGGTCAGAATAAATGGTCTCCCAACCAGCTGTCATCCAAAACACTGCATTAAGAACATTCCATATAGCCAGGCACTGAGGATACGCAGAATTTGCTCCGACGATGAAAGATTCCTAGAAAGGTCTGAAGAGCTGGCTAAACATTTAATTTACCGAGGCTACGACAAAGACCTGATTGCGAAGGCAATCCAAAGGGCCAAACAAACAAACCGTGATGACCTACTCAGATATGGACAGAAAGAAAAGGTTGATAGGATACCATTTATTCTGACCTATCACCCAGACAATCCCAAAGTACATACATGGTCCAAACAAAACGTGCAAAACGGAGAATGTGATTTATCTCATCACATGTAAGATCTGTGGCCTTCAGTACGTCGGAGAAACTGAAAAGCTACACAAAAGGATAAACCTTCATAGATCTGATTGGATGACAAAAAAGCTGTACAGAAGCCCGGTCGCAGAACACTTCTCCTCCCCTGGCCACACTTTCAGTGATATAATACTTATCGCTATTGCTAACAACCACAGCTGGAGTTCCGAAACCAGGAAGGAAAAGGAATCATACTGGATACGCCGCCTTAGAACATTGAAACCATTCGTATTATCAAATATTTCCCTAATTGAAGCAGAGAGAGAGAGAGAGAGAGAGAGAGAGAGAGAGAGAGAGAGAGAGAGAGAGAGAGAGATTGGCTAAAAATATGCAACTTTCTTCCAAGATTCTATTGACGGAATGCGTAAAGCCTCTAACTTAAATAGTATCATCGTATGAAATAAGTTTGGTAAATTTCCAGCATCATTTAATTTATAGATATATTTATACACAGAAAGTACTGGCGGGGAGAAGGAAGGAAGCATTAAAAAGATGAATTCTGGAGCGTGTATTAGATCATGCTATACATCTACATCTAATTATTATCCAACTTTGGTGATATTGCAATTATCAAACCCTGATCCCCGATTAGCCTCCTACGATGAATAAAAAATAAACTATAAAAATAAATAAGCAAATACATGAGTTATAATTGGACTGAAATTGCTAGAACGAAAAATATTAAATAAAAGTGTTCTCTCTCTCTCTCTCTCTCTCTCTCTCTCTCTCTCTCTCTCTCTCTCTCTCTCTCTCTCTCTCTCTCTCTCTCTCTCTCTCTCTCTCTCTCTCTCTCTCTCATGCAAGATACGGCAAGCTAATCAATTTTTATTGGTAAAATAAGGTATCCATGGTGATTCTGTCCACGCTTCAAATCCACAATATACTGATCTTTATATTGCCTTAAAACTTTATTTTCTACCCAACACATATCTCAAGACCAACCTATGTCTGGCATCATCTTTATTTCGTTTTCTAAACTTCAATTTGTCTTTTCACTATTATCAACCGACTATGTGTCAGCATTCGTTTGTCAGGCAATATTGCTTCGGAAAGAATTCCATGACCACGTGTCCAAATTCAAACAATTAAAATAACGGTATATGTTTATAACAGGTACTTATGCACATAAGCGGCATTTCTGGAATAGTAAAGATGGTACATTGTTGATAGGTTATAATGTGGCAAATTTTTCTCATAACAACAATTGCCCTCGATTAAACATTAGGTATTGTTATATAATATTGTTATAATATTGTTGTATGCAATATTCAAGTATCTGTGGCACGAACTTAAATTTTGTGCATGATATTTTTTCTTCTTCTTCAGCTTAACATTAATATCGTTGGAATTCAACTCATTAACGTTTTTCTAGTTCTGTGTTGAATTTTAGCTAATATGGAAAACAATACTTCTCCGATTTATAGTATCACATAAGAATATGTTTTTCTACCACGTTTCAGTCATTATGTCAAACTCTTTCATTCACTATATCTGGAATTGACATATCTATTACAGAGAACGGTTTTTGCGAAGAACATGCATGTCAAACGCCAGTGTGTTGTCAGTTCTAGAGAGTCTATAATATGAGATTGTATTGCAATTTCGACCTGATACAGCTTGACATGAAATTTGCCGGCAAATTGTCGGCCCCATTTGTTACATTTCTGGAAATTGTTGCCAGACAAGAACACAGAGTAACAATATAAAACCTTTCAGGAAAAAAAAAGAAATAGCATTTATTTTTGATCGTATTGAACAGAATGAACCTCAAATACATCAACAGATTTAAAACGGATACAATTTAATATAGAGTGAGGAAAATGCCTGGGAATAATGGAAGATAGTTTTTCTAAAGGTAATATGAAGAAACTGTTTTTAAAACGTTGTAAAATCTATTTCAAGTCATTTCAAACCAATATTTTAAGATGTTGAACTTCCAAAATACTTAAGAAAACTACAGTACGGAAGGCTCAATATTCTAAACATAAACCACTGATGAAAGGACTTTGTTTTAAAAAAACTAAAAAAAATCTAGCATATTAAGGACTATTTACTGTTGGTCGGGAAGTGAAACTTTTAAACGGTGTTTGGAATTTACAAGTAAAATTTATTTTAGAATTCCTAATGCTGTATACAATATGTTGTATACATATACTTACTAGTGGCGTCACGCGCAGATTTTCATGAACTTCTGCCCTGTGCTTGTTGACGAAACACAACACGCTATTAATAGTCGTCAGAGCTAACTTGTAAATAATAACATCGTGTCTGTCAAGTGTAGGACACCTATGTGCACAATGAGATTTACCGAGGGATTTGCTGTGATTTTTTATATAGATTTCCGAAAGATAGAAAGTGAAGGAAAAGATAGCAACATGCCCGGTATGACGAGATGAAATGATACAAACCTTCAGACCACGATTGTGTTTGTTCCTTTCAGTGGAGGTATGTACTAATTTACAACCAGAAGTGGAAGTAAAGATAATTCTTTATGCGATGTAATGCATCCCAGTGAATAAAACATTAATCTACCCAATGTTTTGTAAGTAATTTTATCAATTGTATGCAGTGTCTTTGTTTTTAATACTTCCTTAATTGTGTCAATGGTGCCTAATGGTCCCATATGGTACATTTATATAACAGTCAAATCAGAGAATATGAAATATATAATCATTTATATTAACATTATTTGTATCATTGATTAAATTCCATTTTTATAAGAAAACCTTTTTCCTCATTTTACCACCGGAACTATGTGTCCAGTATTTTTGACATTATACCGAAAAGTAGGGCCACACATCTGATTATTGTTTTCTGCGGCTTAGATATGTTTTCATTTGCGTGCGTGTACACATGAGTATGATGCCATTTTATGTTAGGTCGAAGGATGAACCTGTGCAATATTAAGTGAAAACTTTATAGATTATGTTGGCATCATGCCATTGAAATCAATCAATCTTGATGCCTTTAATTGGATATTTGACGACCCATTTACCGGGTAAGCTTCTCCCCGACCCTTAATTGTATAAACAAATTTATTTTCTATCTTCCAGCCATTTCTAAATCTAATTATCTTTTTCATTATATTCTTCCGTGAAAACTTTCCACATTACTGTCAAGCATAACTAAAGCCAACAAAATTGTATCACATTTTCTCTTCTACTGTAATACTTCCTCAGACGCACCTTTTAGGAGAGATTTCCGGGACAATGGCTTTCTGTACAAAAGAGTGATACAAATGTGTTTTCATTTGGCGATGTTAAGAATCACGCGGATCTTCTCTCTCCGCGCCGCTAATATTGAATGTCCTAATATAACAGATTAATGATGCTATATGATGCGTATCGATAGTATAATATTACGAACTTTCTTGATGGCTCTACACAAATCGATACTAACTTTCCTGAAAATGTTGCAGCATTTTGATAACACTTATTTATATTAATTTTTATATCACAATATTACAATGAAATAAAGTTTCATTTTCATGCATTGGAGTTTTAGTTACATGACTTTACCGTGTCCTGTGACTAAAGATATACCCGTTGCATCTTGCTAACTCTATTAGTCTAGTATAATGACATATTCATACAACTTCCGGAATTTAAACGATGAAAACAACATGTTTTTGTATAGGTAATATCTAGGTATACTTAATAACTAGTAATTATAAACTCGCTCTGCAGGACGAATTTGTGAATGACATTGCAAAAATCAGGGCATGTCGCTTTTACTAAATCTCTCTCAAATCCACCAATATATCCAAATAAAAAAGTTTCCAAAATACTTTCGTTTACAGATGGATCCTCGCCTAGTTATACAGCCAGGCGTATGATTACATCGTGAAAAAACGCTCCAGTGGCCTAGAGGTTAGAGCGTCAGCCTTGGATATTGGAGATCGCAGGTTCAAACCCCGGCCGAGTCATACCAAAGACTTTAAAAATGGTACTAACAGCTGCCTCACTTGGCACTAAGCATTAAGTGGTTAGTGTTAGGACTAGTCGGCCTGGTGGTAAAATAATCTAACTGGGTGAGACATTATGCCCCAGTGCTAGATATTAATATAAACTGTCACACTGGATACATCGTAGAGATAAAACTGAACAATTGTTAAAAGCTACGTTAAAAATCTAAATTACACACACACACACAGCGAGAAAATATACTTGGTTTGTAAAATCTCTATTCTGCTAATTTACATGATAAATCTTACACTGTGCCAAAATATTTCATATGGAACCCTTGCTTTATACAGGAATTACATACAGCAGGCTAATTACGAAAATGATAATAATGGTGTTGTAGATGTTAGACATCTGGAGTAGAATTACAACAACGTGATAACTGTAGTGATGAAAATGTTAGACATCTGGACCAGAATTACAACACCGTGATGTAGTGATCGAAATGTTAGACATATGGACTAGAATTAAAACAATGTGACAATTGTACTGATGGAAATGTTAAACATCTAGAGTAGAATTACAACAAGGTTATTACTGTAGTGATGGAAATGTTAGACATCTGGACCAGAGTTACAACAACGTTATAACAGTAGTGATGGGAATATTACACATCTGGAGCAGAATTACAACAACGTAATAACTGTAGTGAATGAAATGTTAGACATCTGGATCAGCACTGGGACTCTGGGTAGATACGTGAGGCTAGGTTCTGCAAGTGCACTAATGCGACACGTGCGAAAGCCTTTCCGACGGAACTGAGAAGGGAGATGCCCAGGTAGTTGTCACAGTCGCTGCGGTCCCCTTTGTTCTTGTACAAAGTGACAATGTTTGCATCCCGCATGTCATAAGCGATGTGTCCCTGTTCCCAGCAGAGGAATAGGAGTTCGTGCAAGGGCTGGAGTAGTGCCGGTTTCCCGTTCTTGAGGATTTCGAGTGTGATGCCGTCGCTCACAGGGGCCTTCCCACAAGCGAATCAGTCGATGGTTTTACTTAGCTCTTCCATGGAGGGCGGAATGTCTAGTTCCTCCATGATTGGCAGGTTTTTGATGGGATTCATGGCAGTATTGGTGACGACGGTTTGGTTTGCATACAGCTCATGATAATGCTCAGCCCAGCGCTGCAGCTGTTTCTCTTGGTCTGTGATGATTACTCCATGTCATAGGCGATGTGTCCCTGTTCTCAGCAGAGGCAAAGGATTTCGTGCAAGGGCTGGAGTCGTGCCGGTTTCCCGTTCTTGAGGATTTCGGGTGGGATGCCGTCGCTCACAGGGGCCTTCCCACAAGCGAATCAGTCGATGGTTTTACTTAGCTCTTCCATGGTGGGCGGAGTGTCTAGTTCCTCCATGATTGGCAGGTTTTGGATGGCGTTCATGGCAGTATTGGTGACGACGGTTGGTATGCATAAAGCTCATGATAATGCTCAGCCTAGCGTTTCAGCGGTTTCTCTTGGTCTGTGATTATTACTCTAGTCTTGGACTTGAGGAGAGCGGTCTTGAGAGATGGGTGACCTGTCGCCTTCTTGATGCCCTCGTACATGATTCTTGTAACTCCAGTGTCAGCAGCTGTTTGTATGCTGGTGCATAAATTCATCCAAGGTTAGATATAATGACTAGAATTACTAGAATGTGATAACTCTACTATTGGTGTTAGATATCTGGCCAAGAATTATTCCAAAGTTATAACTGTAGTGATGGAAATGTTATATAGCTGTACCATCATTACTTCAAAGTTATAATTGTAGTGCCGGAGATGTTAGACTGGACTCACTACACACGATCAGATTAACACACAAATCCTTATTTTTATTTGTACTGATTGATCAATTAGCTATGTTTGTGCTACATTTATTGAAGTTGCTCTTTCATGAGAAAATATTTTTCAAGATGGCAGCAACTACAATTGTTCTTATCTCATGTTACAAATGTTGTCCAACACACAAACTTTGGGATTTCTCCATCGTTTAGATCATCTTCATTTTTTTTCTTCTTCATTCTAGGCGGCAATGATATCATTCAATACCAAAACATCGGTCATATATTTTTCAAAACAGGTTTAATCTGAATTCAATCACCGTATGAACTTGAAGGAACCCATTCCAAATGAATCTGTCAAAGATCGTTAGAAACTAATTTCATTTCAAGATGTATTTGAATTTCGGGCTTTGAGTAATAATGTTGCTGGTAGTTTGCTAAACTCGATGATTACTTTCAAAGATATCATTTAATGTTGGGTTTTAATAGTACCTCGAATCGGTTGAAGCACCAGTGATTGCATACCATTAGTATTCGGTCCCAGTAGGAAATCAGAAACTATTTACTTTTTTTCTCTTGTTCATTTCGAATAGGAAATAAGGATGTATTAAATTTTCTCAAATTTAGACTGAATAACCACTAAAGAAATATTTAAATTTTCCCAATTCTATCTGAGTTGAAAACGATGAATCGTTTTTTATTCTTTTTTTAAGAAGTATGAGGAATCAAGAAAGGACAATGGAAACAACTTTACGGTCTCCTTAAATGCTTTTGATTTTGATTTCATCATATTTTCACATTGTTGGTTTGGACTTCAGGATATGTACGCCATGAAGAGAGATTGAGAGAGAGAGAGAGAGAGAGAGAGAGAGAGAGAGAGAGAGAGAGAGAGAGAGAGAGAGAGAGAGAGAAAGGAATTGTTCTTGAGAGAATGTCATACTTTCGCTCTCACTTTTTTTTTCTTCGAGAGTAAGTAAATTATATCTTCTCAATGCTTCCAGCGCCATTTATACACTTAATGAGATACAAAAGATAGTAGTTATTAGAACGAAACACAATCATAATTTTGTTATCAAAGGAGATAAGACTGTTAATAGTTAAGAAAAAACATTTAATTACAAGATTTAACGTAATTTACATAGATAGGACAGTGGTCCCGATGGTACTAACAATGCAAAGAGCTTAAGAATATCTAGGATGCTGCCAGTCAAGCAATGTATGACCAGTATGCATGATACAAAGTAACATGCAACGAGCATGTACAATATCCTGAGTATTATGTGACGACCGTGCAAAATACTGATTAATAATTTATCAGCATGCATGGTATTGAGTAATGTGACCAGCATGCATGATACTGAATAATAATGACAAGCGAAACATGATAATGAAAAATATGTCAAAAGTATGCATAATGCTGATTAATATCAAGAGCATGAATGATGCTTGTTAATATGTCAAGAGCATGCAGGATGTTTGTTAATATGTCAAGAGCATGCATGATGCTGAGTAATATGTCAAGAGCATGCATGATGCTGAGTAATATGTCAAGAGCATGCATGATGCTGAGTAATATATTAAGAGCATGCATGATGCTGAGTAATATATCAAGAGCATACATGATGCTGAATAATATGTCAAGAGCATGCATGATGCTGAGTAATATGTCAAGAGCATGCATGATGCTTGTTAATATGTCAAGAGCATGAATGATGCTGAGTAATATGTCAAGAGCATGCATGATGCTGAGTAATATGTCAAGAGCATGCATGATGCTTGTTAATATGTCAAGAGCATGCATGATGCTGAGTAATATGTCAAGAGCATGCATGATGCTGAGTAATATGTCAAGAGCATGCATGATGCTGAGTAATATGTCAAGAGCATGCATGATGCTGAGAAATATGTCAAGAGCATGCATGATGCTGAGTAATATGTCAAGAGCATGCATGATGCTTGTTAATATGTCAAGAGCATACATGATGCTGACTAATATGTCCAGAGCATGCATGATGCTGAGTAATATGTCAAGAGCATGCATGATGCTGAGTAATATGTCAAGAGCATGCATGATGCTTGTTAATAAGTCAAGAGCATGCATGATGCTGAGTAATAAGTCAAGAGCATGCATGATGCTGAGTAATATGTCAAGAACATGCATGATGCTGAGTAATATGTCAAGAGCATGCATGATGCTGAGTAATATGTCAAGATCATGCATAATGCAGAGTAATTTGTCAAGAGCATGCATGATGCTTATAAATATGTCAAAGGCATGCATGATGCTTGTTAATAAGTCAAGAGCATGCAGGATGCTTGTTAGTAAGTCAAGAGCATGCAGTATGCTTGTTAATAAGTCAAGAGCATGAATAATGCTTGTTAATAAGTCAAGAGCATGAATAATGCAGAGTAATATGTCAAGAGCATGCATGATGCTGATAAATATGTCAAAGGCATGCATGATGCTTGTTAATAAGTCCAGAGCATGCAGGATGCTTGTTAATAAGTGAAGAGCATGCAGGATGCTTACTAATATGTCAAGAGCATGCATGATGCTTGTTAATAAGTCAAGAGCATGCAGGATGCTTGTTAAAAAGTCAAGAGCATGCAGGATGCTTGTTAAAAAGTCAAGAGCATGCAGGATGCTTACTAATATGTCAAGAGCATGCATGATGCTTGTTAAAAAGTCAAGAGCATGCAGGATGCTTGTTAAAAAGTCAAGAGCATGCAGGATGCTTATTAATATGTCAAGAGCATGCTTGATGCTTGTTAAAAAGTCAAGAGCATGCAGGATGCTTACTAATATGTCAAGAGCATGCTTGATGCTTGTTAATAAGTCAAGAGCATGCAGGATGCTTGTTAATAAGTCAAGAGCATGCAGGATGCTTGTTGAAAAGTCAAGAGCATGCATGATGCTTGTTAATAAGTCAAGAGCATGCAGGATGCTTACTAATATGTTAAGAGCATGCAGGATGCTTGTTAATAAGTCAAGAGCATGCAGGATGCTGAGTAATAAGTCAAGAGCATACAGGATGCTTGTTAATAAGTCAATAGCATGCATTATGCTTGTTAATAAGTCAAGAGCATGCATGATGCTTGTTAATAAGTCCAGACCATGCATGATGGTGATAAATATGTCAAAAGCATGCAGGATGCTTGTTAGTAAGTCAAGAGCATGCAGGATGCTTGTTAATAAGTCAAGAGCATTCA